CCCGCCGCCCCTGTCGGCCCCTGCCGTGCCCGCCTGCGCCCGGTCATCGGCCTTTTGTTTCTGTACGAAGTGGTTGGTGGCAGGCCACACGGGCCCGGTTCTGCGGGAGGAAGGGTCTGTAATTAAGCACGGTGCTGTATAGCATCGTATTTTTTCGAAAGAAATTCCTTATTTCAGTTTCCTCAGCTCCTGGTGTTGTACAGCATCGTATTTCTTCAGAAGAAATTTCTTATTTCAGTTTCCTCAGCTCCTGCTGTTGTATAGCATCGTATTTCTTGAGAAGAAATTCCTTATTTCAGTTTATTTAGCTCCTGGTGTGAAGTCTTAAAGTATCCTGCCCTGCAAGCACTGCTTGATATGCCAGTTATTTTATTTTAAATTAAAAATGCGTGGAAGGATGAGTTCTATTTATAAAATTCTTTTCCCCTAGAAAGCCTTTGTACTTCAAGCTGCTGCCTGGAGCATGGGAACTACCCGGAGGTCGGTCGGTCGCTGTAGGTATCGTTGTGTCGTGTGGACACTGTCCTGCCAGCCAGCAGTGCCGCAGCGCTGCCTCGCCTTGCTGCCCCGTCCGAGGCCACGCTCGGCACGATGCGCTCGCTTCCGCAGCGAAGCTGCTTTGTTTCCATCCATCCTCTCGCTTCCCTGAGCTCTTCGTGCTCTCAGGGGTTTTATGGGGCCGCGCTCTGAGCCAGAGAGAACTGATGTGTGTATTTCTGAACAGAAACATGTTCTTTTTCTGTGTATTTCAGGTCCATTCCCTAAGTATAGAGATAGGGGAGGGCGAGGCACGCGGACAGGAGTGTGTTCGGCTGATGCTGGTTGGGAAGGGGAGGGGAGGGTCTCACTGAACTGGGGTTTCAGCTGGGGCTTTGGTGTGACACACTGTCCTCAGCCCCCCAGAAAGTGTATTTCAGTATTCCCGGGGGAAGTGCGGGTCAGCGTGTTAAATACCAGCGTCACAGGGAACTGCCAGCGCTGAAGACATCTTGGCATCAGTTGCGTTCGGCTCCCACTGCACGGGTGGTGAGGCCGGTGGGTCTGCTTCTCACCTCTCTGTGAGACGGTGAGTGTTGCTTTGGAGGCCAGACCCGGAGGCCTGGTCTCCTGACACCGAGTTTTACAGACCTTTGTGCTCTATCGATGGTGGCGACTCTGACAAAGCATCTCCTGGTAGCTAGGGTTTCCCCTCCTACCTCAGCCACTCCCTGGCCCACCGCTGGGCTTGCCCCAGCTCCCCCTGGTGTCACCCTCTCTCCTGTGCTCCTCTCGGGATCTGTTTCGTGCAGGTAGGTTCTTGAGACCGAGAACTGGTGTACAACCGGCTCTCCAGTTCAGAGTCGCTTAGCAGAGGCCTGAGGAGCACCAGGAACGTGTTCGTGGTGCTGATCTCCCCTGTGAGATGCTCTGATGACAATGAAGCTGCTCCTTTTCTCCCTAGCAAGCGGATGGGCACTGCGAGGAAGTTTCCCATAGGTGATGATGGTTGTCCCTTCACGCTGCTGCCGCTCGTCCTGGCTGTCACGGAATGGCGGCAGGAGAACCAGCAGCCTGGTCAGGCAGGATCCATGTGCTGACACAGATTTAGCTCAGACTGGGCCATAGTGGGGCTTAGCCCCAATGCGCGCTGTGACCTGCTCCCCACCAGCCTCTGTTCGGGTGGCCCTGGCTCCAGCCCTGCCTTGATGTCCCCAGTGATCGGGTGGCCCGTCCTGGGCTGGTGCCAGGGTCCGGTGCTGGAAGTACAGGACGGGAGCACATTTTGCTCGGTCCTTGCACACACTTAGGTGGTGCTGGGCCCCGGGCACTGGGTCCTGCCTCACAGGAGCTCCCCCACTCCTGCTTCACCTTGTGATGTGGTTTCCCAGGGCTTGGTGTCACCGAGGTGCAGCTGTAATGTCCCCAGGTGCTCCTCTGGTCTGTCCGCTTGGAGCCAGCCGTGTGCTCACGCGGGCCAAGCTACAGCAAACCAAGGACGCGTCATCTGGGAGGAGGGCGGCCGGCTGCTCCTTGTCCTCTGCCACCCCACACCAGCGTGAGTTCATCCCTGCTCGCGGTGTCCCCACGCTGTGGTTGTGCCCACAATGCGCCCAGTCACTCCGAGTGACTGCATCACGTGCCGCCGCAGATACAGCGTCACCAGCAGCCATGGAGTCACTGGTGTGGGTCGGGAAGGGTGAGGGCTGGGGGGAAGGGACGTTGGGGGTGACAGCAGGGGGGGGAGGCTGGGGCGGTGCAGGGTGACAGCCAGTGCCTGCTGACGGGCATGAAGAACCGGAGCTGCAGAGGGTGGGGGACACGGCCGGTGAAGGCGGAGGGGAGCAGGAAGAGCTGCAAAGCCTCTGAGTCAGGAGGGGACGCTCATCGAGTTGCCCTGGGGACCGGTGGGTGCCTATGGGCTCTCCCGCAGCTCCCCAGCCACCCGGTTAATTAAACCTAAAAAGGGGCAAACCAAAAAAAAGATCAAAGAAATGAACACATCCTTCAGCCTCGCTGCAACGCTTTGCAGAGGAACGGGGCCGTTTCTTGCTGCTGAGTCCTGGCAGGGCTTGCCCAGGACCGTCATTCCCCAACCTACCAAGCAGCCATGTCACCAGGGCGTGGTACTCGACGCGGGGGGACGATGCCACATCCGCCCCTGTGCCGCCGAGATCGCCTGCAAACGGCTCTTCCAGCGTTTTGCAGCTGCCTTGGGGAAAGAGCCTTCTGCAGCTCTGCTCCTGCGAGGTAAGGCAAGCTCCCAGGTGAATTTTGGGGCGCAGGGCGGCACGTTGCCGAGCTGTGGCACTGGGGTGCTGCCCGGGTGGGAGCGCGGG